TGGGGTTGAAGGCAGCAGTAATGAGGGATGTGCTTGGCCAAACAGCCAGTTTTTAATTGCACTTACAATACTTACAATACAATACAACATATATAGATGAGAATTAGATGTTTATGCACCACTCTGGTTTCTTTTAATGGAAGATGGTTTGCACATATTTTAAATACACTATAGCAGCTGCCTTAGACTGAGTCAGACCACTGGTCCATCTAGTTCAATAGTGCTTACACTGACTGGCAGCAGCTCTAAGGATTTCATAAAGGAGTCTCTTCCCCACCCTACCTGAAGATGCTGGAGATTGAACCTGGAACCTTCTGCTTGCAAGGCTGACATGCTGCTACTGAACCATGGCTCTCCACTTTAAATGATAGATAACCTGTTCCCCCACTTCAACTCCAGCTAGCATGGCTAAGTTTCCGAGATGAACATCTGGAGGTCTGCAGGTTCCCAACCTCATACATAAGGAGCTGTTTACTGAGGAGCAAACTGTATGTCAGTGTATACATAACAGGCACCACCAGACTGATCCCAATCCAAATTGCACTGATTCAGGTCAACACGGGATTTGAGGCAGCTCCAGATTTCCTTGGGTAGGATTGGGTCCACTCGGAACTATCAAGGCTGTCAAGTGGGGAGAGGGAGAGGAGAAGGTGTTCAGGCAATCTGTAGATGTCTCTTCCTTCCTTCCTCCCAACTGGATGTTTAATCAAAGTTGTAAGCCAGGCAACCTCCTTCTCCCCTCTTGACCACATGTCCGAACCCTCCAATTGGTCCAGAACCCAGGTCTGGGTTGGGTGGGCCCCAGATTGTATGCTGGGGGCATGCCCTTCAGCTTGTTAGAAGTTCTGGTTGTCAGATTCTCCAAAGTTCTTAAATTTAATAAATGCTTGGAGCTAGACATTGCATTTAGCAAAGTGCTGAAACATAGGTGGGAATGGCAGTGGCAGGCTTGAGTACTATTGTGCCCTGAGCAAAGCCAACATTTTGCACCTCCCAACAATCTTCAAGCTGACTTCCCAGAGGTGAGTAAGGAGGCGCCTGGCTTTGAGGAGGTGCCCAGCTTTGAGATGGAAGTGTGAGGGCTCTGGCAGGGTCCTGGAGCCCTCTTTCTTTCTTTCCAAAGCTGGGAAAGCACTAATTAGGCTTGGGGAAGAAGACTGGAGGATTCTAGGACCTTGGCAGAGCCTCGCACCTCTTCCCCAAAGCCTAGTGCCTCCCTTATTGGGCTTTGAAACAGCACCACTTTGGCTTAGCACCCAGGGCATATGCACCACTCATGCAACCCTAAATCCACCACTGAGACTGGTTTTCTGGAGCAAGGAAGCCATGTGGCAGAGGGGCCATCAGGTAGTGATTGACCTAACAAGGGACAGGGAGGGAAGAGACCAGCATAACTAAGATTGTGTGCAACTGGCTGGGAAGTTTGGAAGACAATTGGAAAGTGGCCAAAGTTACAGGAAATTTGTGCCTTTTGTGCCAGGCTAGGAGTGGCTGAGTCCAAAGGGAAGGGGATGCATTTGGCAGGGGTTCTGGGAATAAGGAGGAGGTGTTGGAAGGAACACCTTGTGGGAGCGGAAGGGCTGCAGTGATAAGAGCTGGCTAGGAAACAGGAAGTAAAGGATGGTGCTTAGAATGACTCTGCAATTCTGGGCTTCTATAAAGAACAAGCTGTTCTTGAGAGGATTTTCACCTCCTTCATCTTAATATGTCTAATTAAACCATATTTCTTAAAGACACTACAGCCTCTATTGCATCTTGATTCACAAAGGAAACATGACCCTGGAACCCCCCTGAAATCTCATGCACCGCTTGCCAGAGATTGAGTGTGGTGTGCAACCTTTTTAACAATATTAAACAATATAAATACAAACTCAAGAGGATTTTTTTCATGGCTGTGTGCATGCATGCTTAAATCTCTGCCTACATCCCACTTTTCAACTCAAGCAATCATTGCCAAACTCCTTTCTCTCCTCCCCCTTGCTGTTTCTACACTCCAGGTTACCACCTCCTGAGACTATTTTTCACCTAAAACACTGTGTTACAAGGGTAGTTTGCCCCTGAGTCAAAGCAATAAACCTGGAGTGTGCAGACCTCCAATAACTGCAGCAGCTCTCAAAGATTTCAGGCAGCAGTTGGTCTCCTCCTCTGCTTTCCAAGAACATTTAAAACAAGACGTTTAAGAATGAGCAAAAGGTGCTTGAGGGATCTGATCATTACAAACTCTGAGATGAACTGACTCAATCCACACCTCTCCAATGAATGGGTGGATGAGAATGGGCGGAGGAGCAACTTCCCTATGAAGAAAGGTTACTAAGATTTGGGCGTTTTGGTTCAGAGAGATGGTGCTTAAGAAATGTAAAACACTGAGCAGAATGTGGAGAAAGTGGACAGAGGAAAGTATTTTTCTCCTTCGCTCCTATGCAACACTAGAACTTGGGGACATCCAATGAAACTGAATGGTGGGAAAGTCAGGAAAGATAAAAGAAAGTACTTTTCCACACAGCACATAGCTAAACTTTGGAACTCTCTTCTACATGGGGCACTGATGGCTACCAATTCAGATGGCTTAAAAGAGGACCAGAACAAATTCATGGAGGATAAGTGTACTATCCACTTTGCCCCCATTGTCTCAGGAAGCATGCTGCTGAAAAGTTGCTGAAAACTGTAGGAAGGGTGAATGCTGTTGCACTAAGGTCCTGCTTCCCAAGGGCACCTGGTTGGCTACTTTGAGGGCAATGGACTATATGGGCCACTGGCCTGATCCAGCAGGCTATTTGAATATTCTGATGCAGAACTCAGTCATTTAAAATTACCCAAATACATTAAAATGCATTTTTAGGTAGGAAATTTATTAAGAAAAACATATTTCCAGAGAGAAAATACATTTATAGATACTTATTTAAATCTGTATATAAATGCAGTTTTTCACAGGATAATGCAGAAAGACTGGAGATAGTCTGATTCCTTCATTTCTAGGATGAACCACGGACTTGCACACACAAATCAGTCTCTCCTACCTCTGAGATGCAACCCCAGAAGCGATGGCGTTCTCTTTGAATGGTGTTGTTCTGCATAGACAGTTTGGTCTAATTATTTTCTTTAGCTAAATTTTATTTTTGTGCCTCGTACTCATCCTCCGGGAACACTGCATTCGAAAGCGAGCTCTTGTTGCCATTAATAATGAATGTGTATTGTCCATTTATTTAAAATCCATAACCCCTTTCACAGATACTTCCCCAAGGCAGTGCTGTTTTCTATTTAAAGAAGAGATTCAGCCATTCGACTCAAATGCCATTTTCTCAATAGAACTCCCCGACTCAGTTGGGGGTGGGTGTGTGGTTTGTTGTTACTTATTTATTAAATTATTAGGAGAAATTATACATACAAGTAACAAAAGTGGAAACAGAAGATAAAAGGGAATTGGGAAACAACGGGCAGGAAAGGAGTATTATGGAACCAGTTTCATCTTTCAGGTGTGGATGGTGTAGGGTTTTAATATGCTTGAAGGAGGGGAAGTCAACCTCTGCAGGATTTTACCCTCTGCTGGTTGTGGATGGCATGGTGTGGTGACAGCCAAGTCCACCTGAATGTAGTTGTACCTTGGTAGTTGAATGGAATCCATTCCGGAAGTCTGTTAGACTTCCAAAACATTTGGAAACCAAAGCACAGCTTCTGATTGGCTGCAGGAAGCTTCTGCAGCCAATGGGAAGCTGCAGAAGCCCCATCAGACATTTGGGATCCAAAGAACGTTCTCAAACTGGAACACTCACTTCGGGGTTTGCGGTGTTCGGGAGCCAGAACATTCGACTTGCAAGGTGTTCGGGATCGAAGGTATGACAGTATATCAAATTTGGCTAGGGACTTAGGTCTCAACAGAATCCGGTGCACAGCCTTACTACATACAGATGGGATCAAGGACCCCACCTTCTGCTTTCCTCTGATCCAGCAAAACCATCTTAAAAAGGTAGAAGGTAAAGGTAAAGGACCCCTGACAGTTAAGTCCAGTAGCAGATGACTCTGGGGTTGCGGCTCTCATCGCGCTTTACAGGCCGAGGGAGATGGTGTTTGTCCTCAGACAGTTTTTCCAGGTCATGTGGCCAGCATGACTAAGCTGTTTCTGGTGCAATGGAACACCAAAACCAGAGCAGCGCACGGAAACGCTGTTCACCTTCCCACTGGAGGGGTACCTATTTATCTACTTGCACTTTTTGGCGTGCTTTTGAACTGCTAGGTTGACATCTTACAGGTACACAAATCATATGCATGTAGACTCTGTTCAGATATTGGAGCGAACATCGATTAGGATGGGGCCTTGGAGGACATCTAGTTCAACTCATTGCTCCATGCAGGTTCTGCAATGCAGGATGCAACTACAGCATCCCTAACAGGTGGATGTCCAGCCTCTCCTTAAAAGCCTGTAATGAAGGAAACATCACACCTCTTGAGGCATTCTGCTCCAGCACAGAGCAATGAAGTTCTGAGCATTCACCACCACCACCACATGTGGAGGTTGGAAGTGGGGACAGGAAGGTAATACTGATTCTCCATCTCCATGCATTCATTGAGCATCTGCTTAGAGCTCATGCTTCCCCCTCCCCCCCTTGACCTTGCAGTAACATTCTCATGTACATGTCTTTCCAGGAGCCTTGGCTTGCATCTCAGTTGCAAATGGCACTTCCCACTGAAATCAATGGGACCAAACAGTCATGGATTAAGTTCTATTGATTTCAATGGGAAAATGTGCAATTTAGAGAGTAATCCAACTCCCCTTATGTTGGGCTGGGTGATGGTGGATTGAACGGGGGCATTCTGAATGTGGGGAGGGGGGCAGTTCTGAGTGTTGAGCAATGGCATCAGGTCCAATCCAGGCGCAATCAGGTTCAATAGTCCTGTTCTCCCACTTCCTATCATAGCTGCTGTGAGTGGATCATAATCATAGAGCTGGAGGGGATCCTGAGGATCATCTAGTCCAACCCCACTCCTATGCAGGAATATGCAGCTGTTCCATACAGGAATCAAACCTGCAACCTTGGCATTATCAGCACCACGCTCTAACTAACTGAACTATTGAGTAGCCATGCTGCAAGTGCATCTTTAGCCCCATCACTCTGTAAAGCCCTGCCAGCGAGAGAGGGTGGTTGGATCGTGCCCTAACTCAGTCTGGATTAAACCATTTACATGCAAGAGTGAATGTACACATTTTGCATTGGAGACAGGAACTGTATATATTATTGGCATTCATAGTCACAAGGTTTTCACAAATTTGTGAGCACATCCCATCAATAAATGTTTATGCACAAGGACAATTGAAATGAATGATTATGCATTAGCACAAATGAAATGAATGATGTGCATGCTTGTGCATATTGTAATCATCTTAATGGGAGGTTACTTTCTATGAGAATAATAGACGAAGTGTTGTAAATCAGAAACTATGTATCTACTAGGGGTTGTCACCCCTGTAGGGACGCAGGTGGTGCTGTGGTCTAAACCACTGAGCCTCTTGGGCGGTTCGAATCCCCGCAACGGGGTGAACTCCCGTTGCTCTGTCTCAGCTCCTGCCAACCTAGCAGTTCGAAAGCACACCAATGCAAGTAGATAAATAGGTACCGCTGCAGCGGGAGGGTAAATAGCATTCTCATGTGCTCTGGTTTCTGCCACAGTGTTCCATTGCACCAGAAGCGGTTTAGTTATGCTGGCCACATGACCAGGAAAGCTTTCTGTGGACAAACACCAGCTCCCTCAGACTGAAAGCGAGATGAGTGCTGCAACCCCATAGTCGCCTTTGACTGGACTTAACTGTCCAGTGGTCCTTTACCTTAATTTTTCCCTGTCACCCCTGCTCACTCTGTTCACCAATCCTATCTACCTTTCTCCAACTGCCTTTCTCCTACAATTGCCCAAAACCTCCTCTCTTTGCAGCTCACCCACTTGCCAATTCCTCCACAGCTCATCCCAAATCCTTTGTCCCTACCTAACTCCCTCCCTCCCTCCAAGCCCCAGCCCCTTTGAAAGGAGGGAAAGGCACTTCATTTCATGTTGTGTGAAGAATCTCCCCCCCCCCATTAAACTTCACTGCACATGAACTGCAGGGTGGACAATACCTTGCATTTTTAGGAAGATATATATTCTTCACCTCTCTTCCCTTCATCTTTCAGTACGTTTTTGTGCTTTTGACAAGCACCAGGAAGACCTGTCTGGGGAAACTTTCTCAATCTCTCCTTGAAACTGCAACAGCAACAAAAAAATGGGCAAGAGCAAAATAAGGCTTGACATTAAGTCCAGCCACATTGTACATCAACAAGGACCATCTCGAGGGAAGGATTGCAGCTGAAATGAAGAAGGCATTTGCAATTTGCAAATCCAATTGGAATATTGGTTTCCATTAACAGATATTCAAATTGGATTTGCATCCTTTGAGGCCTTCGCTTCCCATTTGTCATTGCTTAATTTGCCTAAATTCGATATGCCTCAGCTGAATTTTTCTACCTTGATCGAAAAGAAAGTGTTGCAAGGCCAATTAAGATTATTAAATTCTTTATATTAAAAAGTAATGTAGATTCTTGCACCATATGCAGTACATAACACTAACTAATAGGAAGTTGCATGGATACAGTCATGCAGTTTAATAATGCATGCATGCATGTATCTACTAGGGCTGTATGACAGATTTGGCAGAAGTCCAAAGAGAATTGGGCTGATTTGGGGCAATCCAGGATTTGCCCAAGTTGGATGAAGATAGCCTGCCATGGATTGGCCTGGGTCAGGTCAAGCCGTCCGGGAAAATCCAGGGCTGTTGGCGGAAGGGTACTGGGTGAGAAGGAGAGGCAGGCATCCTGCAAACAAAGGGAGACTCAGAAGGGGGAGTAAAGCCCTGACCCCAAAATTGATTTGGGACCAGATCCAGGTTAGATGTCTACCAGGTTAGCCTGGGTTAGGTAGAGGCTGATCGGGAGCCCCACTTTGTATGTCAGCAGACTGTGCACAACCATATTATCCACCCATCCACCTCCCTATCCATTCATTGTTGGGCCTCTGCTTTAAAACGTCCAAAGAAGGAGAGTCCACCACCACCCATTTCACTGTCGAACAGCTCTTAGCATTAGAAAGTCCTTCCTAATATTTAGAATGGAGTCTCCATTCTTGTAACTTGAGACAAAACTACAAAAATGCCATTTTTAAAGAGGAGAAACACACACTAAAGTGCAAATGAATCTTCATGGGGTTGTGTGTATACTGTGTGTGTGTGTGTGTGTGTGTGTGTGTGTGTGTATCTATCTGTATACACACACACACACACACACACACCACCTTAAAATTATGTGGAAACGTGGAGAACTGAAGATTGGAAAAATGAGAAGGAGAGAAAGAGAAAGTGACAGCTTTCCCCATCCCTAGTACATGATAGCTCAGTGCAACTCTCGTGGTCTGAGACAGTTCACCTCTGAAGGCCAGATGGTGAGGCTGAACAATGATGATCGCAGCAGGTCATCACCTTCACCCCCTGCTTGTGAGATCATCCAGAAGAAGTTGCCCGACATTCAAAGTTTCTATGCTAACAGAGCCATGAACTGGACCGTGTAGCTGTCCTGACTTGGAGGCCTTAGCACTGGGCAGCTCTTTGGGAGATTAGGGGTGCCTTTCTGTGTCATGTTCAGTAGCTCAAATGATTTGAAATTACCAAAATGCCAGAGGGGAATCTCTTCCAAATGCTCAAAGAACTGTAAAGAGCCCTGCAGCTCACAAAGCTTGTTTCACTGCCCATTTTATTAGCAGTCTGTTCAGTGCCTGCTATTTTCTCCTGTATCAGCTCTTTTGTGCTTCCAAATGTTCTCTCTCTCTCTCCCCACCAACTCTCATTTCAAAAGTCATCACAGCCTCTTAACCTTCGAGCTGCTTGCTACAGGATATTGCACTCCTAACATATAGGGTCACCCATATATAGTTTGTTTACAAGGTTATAATAGTATTATGGATGGGGTACATCTTGCCAGGGGTGGGGTGTGAGGAGCAAGGTCCTGAGACATTAGGCAGCACTAATGATTCATTTCTTAAACAAAAAGGAAATGAAAGGAAAGGAAGAAAAGGTATCTGCAGGGAGTGGTGATGCAGAAATTGTGTAATGCACACTATTGGTGAGGCCGGTGCCATGTAGGCAAGAATATGGGATAACCCCAAAACTCATAAGAAACAGTTTAGGAAGAACCTAACACTGACTGTTAAGAGTGAAAAACAACCCCAGAGGGTTCTGTACATACAGTAGTGGATAAAAAAAATTGGGATGAGTAAGTGTTTCTGTGTACTGTGGTTGGATGAGAGATGGTGGAGCAGTGATATGGCAGAAGCTAGTTAAGGAGAGGATGAAATAAGATTATGTATTTTTTCCTATACAGTTTGCATTCTAATGGAACAATCTCACAGACTCTCTACACTCTGCCCTGTAATGAATTGCTGAATAAAGTCTGGACCAGGCTTCCTCAACCTTGGCCCTCCAGATGTTTTCGGCCTACAACTCCCATGATCCCTAGCTAGCAGGACCAGTGGTCGGGATGATGGTAATTGTAGTCTCAAACATTTGGAGGGCTGAGGTTTAGGAAGCCTGGTCTGGACAATAGGAGCTTAGTGCGAACCTCCCTATTAAACAAAGTGAGTTTGCACGTTTTGGATTGAGGCTGGTTGCTTGTCAGAGCTGTTTGGAGAATTGCTTTAGTTTGTTCGTGTGTTTGTGCGTTTTGCTGTGTGCTCTGCTAGACCACATGGTGTGAGGTGGGAGACGCATACTGCTGAGAGGAAGTAAGGCTGAAGGAGAAAGTGAGTTGGGGGTGGAGTTGGAAGCCACCAGTTCTATATAGCTGCTCTCCTGCTAAGTTTCAGCACTCTTAACAAATGACAGCTCCCAAAATATTCTGGAGGAAGCCATGGCTGTTTGAGGTTGCATCATATTGCTTTAAAAGGAGGGTGTGAGTGTGGCCCAGCTTGTGAACCACTGGTGATCTACAGACCAGTTTGGGAATCTCCGACTTAAATAATCTGTGGAAATTGTACTCCTGGTACCACACCCAACAGAATGTTCCAGGGCAGTGATGTGACAATGGACATGTTCTGCTATTGGCCCTCAGTATTGTGGAAGCTGGATTTAGAAGAGGCAGAGGAACCAGAGACCAAATTGCAAACATGCGCTGGATTATGGAGAAAGCTAGAGAGTTCCAGAAAGACATCTACTTCTGCTTCATTGACTATGCAAAAGCCTTTGACTGTGTCAACCACAGCAAACTATGGCAAGTTATTAAAGAAATGGGAGTGCCTGATCACTGTCGGTTTGCAAGCCCCCTCCACAGAGGCTGGCCCCTCTCACTGTCCTCGGAGCTTGCATACCGGTAACCTCCTCTGGCTGACATCCAGACAGACCAGGGAGATTTTGATAGGCGACATTTTCCCAAGTGTGGGTAAAATGCACAACCCCCTCCTCCTGCTTCTGCAGAGGAAAGAAAAGTAGTCAGAAAGCTATTTACATGATGTTAATTTCTGACATTACAGCACTAAAGAAAAACACGTCCTTTCAGTTCAGTTCTTCCAGCACGTCTGACAAACTTCCTGAGCATGCGCAATCGGAAGGTTTCAAATTACACTCTTCACAAAGACTTATTCAGCCTGTGAACTTCCTGGGAAATTCTTCTTTCCCACAGATAGGCACATCATGTGATGTCAACAATCTGGCTGTCTGCAGCGGTGATGTTTCCATATACTGACAATCACCTCATCTGTCTCCTGAGAAATCTCTATGTGGGACAATTAGCTACAGTTAGAACTGGATATGGAACAACTGATTGGTTCAAACTTGGGAAAGGAGTATGACAAGGCTGTATATTGTCTCCCTGCTTATTTAACTTATATGCAGAATTCATCATGCGAAAGGCTGGGCTGGATGAATCCCTAGCTGGAATTAAGATTGCCGGAAGAAATATCAACAACCTCAGATATGCAGATGACACAACCTTGATGGCAGAAAGTGAGGAGGAACTAAAGAACTTTTTATTCAGGGTGAAAGAGGAGAGCGCAAAATATGGTCTGAAACTCAATATCAAAAAAATGACGATCATGGCCACTGGTCCCATCATCTCCGGGCAAATAGAAGGGGAAGAAATGGAGGCAGTGAGAGATTTTACTTTCTTGGGCTCCATGATCACTGCAGATGGTGACAGCAGCCACGAAATTAAAAGACACCTGCTTCTTGGGAGAAAAGCAATGACAAACCTAGACAGCATCTTAAAAAGGAGAGACATCACCTTGCCAACAAAGGTCCGTATAATAAAAGCTATGGTTTTCCCAGTAGTGATGTATGGAAGTGAGAGCTGGACCATAAAGAAGGCTGATCGCCGAAGAATGGATGCTTTTGAATTATGGTGCTGGAGGAGACTCTTGAGAGTCCCATGGACTGCAAGAAGATCAAACCGATCCATTCTGAAGGAAATCAGCCCTGAGTGCTCACTGGAAGGACAGATCGTGAAGCTGAGGCTCAAGTACTTTGGCCACCTCATGAGAAGAGAAGACTCCCTGGAAAAGACCCCGATGTTGGGAAAGATGGAGGGCACAAGGAGAAGGGGTCGACAGAGGACGAGATGGTTGGACAGTGTTCTCGAAGCTACCAGCATGAGTTTGACCAAACTGCGGGAGGCAGCGGAAGACAGGAGTGCCTGGCGTGCTCTGGTCCATGGGGTCACGAAGAGTCGGACACGACTAAACAACAACAACAACTGTGGGATGTGCTCCTCTCTGCCATACAGGAAGCAACAACCATCAGTTTCCCATCATCAAATACATATCTTCTTGCCCAGGCTTTCCCTGGCCCAAAATATTAGTCTTTGTTTTAATTCCCTGTTTTTATTTGTGCTTATAAGCTTTTATTCAACTGCTTTGCTGGTTTTATGTTATATTTGTGATTTAGTTATTTTTAGTTCTGTTTTTTATGTTGGGTGTCACACACACACACATATTAAGCAGCTTATATTTGCTTTTAAGTAAATAAATGATACAGCGGGACTCTTAAGGCTTAAAAGTGGAGGCAAAGGAAATGCAGTGGATGGGACAGCAGCTGTCAGAATTTGGGATGGATGCCTTTTGGAATATCTTTCACCTTTCCTCATTTCTTTCTTGCTCCTATGAAATGTCATCTGGAGTCGCTCGAAATGGATCACAGTTCATGGTAATTGTTATTATCTGCAGTGCAATTTACATTATTATTTGTCATTGTGTTATCCATGTAACCTTTCATTGAATCTCCTCATTTATCATTGTGGAACGCAAGTGTGATTTATGACCGTGTATCATTTTCACGATTGTATCATTCTTTATTACATGTATCACAATTCATGAGTTTCTTTAAAGAGTTCTTCCAAGTCAAGGCCAGCATCAGCCATTGTCTGGCTACTGAACTTGAAAACTCAAATGATGTTTATGCCTCTGGTCCTGTCCAAAATGGTTGGAGCATGGCAAAGCAAACTACTGAAGTCATTTATTTACATTAAAGTTCCTTGGGTACATTGTTTTGTGTGTTTTTTTAACTTATCAAATGTGTGGCATTCTTCCTATGCTGGGGGAAGAGGGAAACTTTGGAACACACAAGGTTGTCTAACAGCCCATATTTCCATGCTTTACTTTGCTGCATATTCTGTGACTTCAAATCTCTGCAGGCGTTCTCCCACAAGCAGGCATACGCAAACTTGGCCCTCCAGATATTTTGGGACTACAGCTCCCATCACCCCTAGCTAACAGGACCAGTGATCAGGGATGATGGGAGTTGTAGTCCCAAAACATCTGGAGGACCAAATTTGCCTGAACTAAAGAGTACTTGCCTCAAACTTAGATTTTGGCATCCAGGAATTCTCCTTCCATACCTATTTTTTTTCCCTTGCTACCAACCTGGAGTGTGTCTGGGAACTCTGAGAAAACCTCATGCTTGTCTGCCTGGGGAACAGGGGTGTGTATGTTTGTGTAGAAACTAGCTGCCTGTACAGAGGCTTATTTCAGCTTTTGTTAGTGAAGGCTCAGAGGCAGTGTGACTAGTAGGAAGGGGAGAGAAAGCTTGATGGTGCTAAGCAGCAACAGCTGGGGAACATGCCTCCAAACCCTTCTGGGCAAGAGATGCAGATGGTGATGGAGTCAAGTGCTATGTGGATGCCTGGGTCTTGCCTTACTAGGAGTGCCCAGAATGGAGTCAGCCAGGCAGCAACCACATAACTGCACAACACAGGCTGCAGACAACTATTGCTTCCACTGCCACCCTGTATATTCCACCAGCAAGGATGAGGTGGCTT